ACATACAGGCAGAAATATTTTTTTAAATTGTGCCACATTTCTAATCTACAGTAAGTTAGAAATAAAGCCCACAAATCAGCTAGCCAACCTTAATTCTAACAAGCCTTAAGTAGAGCACATTTACTCATTCGAAACTATGATCTTACAAAACAAATAAATTCAAAAGTATGAGAAAGTTGTTGACACCAGACTTGAAATATTTAAGGAGCATGTAATTTCATATGTCCAGCTGTGTGCAGAAGTAGACTAGTTCAGCTAAATCAAACAAGTCCCCAAAAATTAAAATAATGAAAAATTATATCAATAAAGTATATACATGAAAGAGAAGACTTACATTATTATTTGATCATATGAAATCTGCCATATACCAACCTCTATATATCCAGTGCAATACTGCCAGATTGCATGAAGTTTTTGAAATCTTTTTCTTCAGTCTCAGTGAAATGAGAAAATTATAAAAACAATCACTATTTCTAAATAAGCTGTACATTATACTATCAAAAGGTTCCAAACTATGAATCACTTCATGGAAACACAAATGGCTTTCACTGAATCCAAGAGCCTCGACCTAGCAACCACAATATTGCTACCCAGTACAAGAAGACCTAGTAAGAGGTGACTAGCCTATAAAATATCTACACAGGAATAGTTTATTATTGTGATTCCTGCAGCAGGATGCTGCTGAAGAATGACACAGCTTCTATGACCATAGTGTGGCTTTAGTCTATAAATACACACATGTGCATTTATCTTGACCTGCTGCTCAAACAGGACTTAAATTCTGATGTATCTCAAAGAAATGAAACAGTATAAAGGACACTTCTATAACCAGCCTCTGTGGCATTTTCAAGGACAGGTCCAAACACTAGAAATGATATAAGGAACATGGATATAAGAGGACTATTACAGAAGGAAGGATAAAAAAGAAGAGGGGGACCAGAACAACCTAAGTACAAAATTACTACAAAATTGCCTGTAATACCAGTTGTGTCCCTTCAGTTCTGAGGTACATTCCATATATTAGGTCCTTTCCCATGATTACTAGCTCTGTTACTTTTATTCTCTTCATTACAAAACCATAGTCCTGTCTCTTAATGGAAGTTTTTCTTGGTCAATTAATTTCAACAATCCAGGAAGCAGTTTAGTCAACATCACTTTAACAAGGTGTGAGGAACAAAAGTAACTAAGAATTCAATGGTCATTTTCAGCTCTCAGTTGCAAAATCAGACTTATTTACCCCTCTGTCTTCAGCAAGCATCTCCAGGATGCAAAAGCATTTTGACTGAAATAAGCAGAGCATCTCCAATATTATTTCACTTCTTCTTTATGGTTACTGAATTGAAGCTTCACTGTAAAATCACTCTGTCCTTAAAACAGCATCTATATCAGATGTTATCTGCTAGATCCTAGACTACCTATAATATCATCCATTTTCTTTCATTTTTCAGTTTCCCTCATTCCCCCTTTGCCAGTCAGTACAATTTCTGAAATAACTAATACTCACTCAGACAGTCCTGAAACTAGTTATTTTATTCTGACAGCTTCTTCACAAACATCTGTGTCTTAATCAGTTCATTTTCTCTCTCTCAACTTTGTACTTTTTTCAGATTTCCCTCTTTAATTTTTTCAAGTTTTTTTCAGTTTTGAGGTATATCTCTTTTCTTTTTCTCCCTTTAATCTTAAAAGCATGTGAGCTACAAGCCAATTTTTGCAATCAGCACAGGGGTCCAAATCTGTCCAGAGAGATACTTGTATTTCACATGGACTGAACCATCCTGAGGGAGCAGAGGAGAGCAGGAGCCTCAGCTAATGGCCTAAATAGGTACATTCAGTCCATCATCTTATCACACCTACAGTCTGGAGGTTATTCTTACTTTACCTCCAACACAGAATTTGGCAGCAAGCAGAATCCTTCATTACAGCACAAGGTAAGAAAATTCATTATTCAGCTCATCTGCTTTGGATCTCAAAGCAGTCAGTGATGTAACAGCTGTTGGATGAACCTGTGGCTTGGACTAACTTAGCCTTGTTATTACAGACCCAACTCAGCCAATAGCCCATTCAAGGAGATGGGTTTACAAATTTAAAACCAAACAGAATTACTCCACTTGTCCACCCTATGGGTCCTTTAAATTATACACCTCCCTATCAGCCAATATTACTTGCCTACAATATTACAATGCATTTCCCCATTTATTTAACAGTCTTCCCTGTTAGACTTTATTTCAACTCTGAGAGCACATTTGTCTAACACACTATGAATTGATCTATGACTTACAGATAGCACTTCTGAGGAAAATCAGAAGAAAAAACAGGTTGTTTAAGAAGCTCTCTAGAAATGTAGCTATGCTTGTAACTATTCCTTCTAATCCACAGATGGATTCTGAAACTTCCTCATCTCAGTTTACCACAACTTCCCACTAATGACAAAGCCCTGCTGAACACCATAATGATCCAAATAACAGATATACAGGACGGGTGCATCTTAGAAGTCCTCTTAAGTGAGTACAACACATAGACAGAGTCTTGTATGCAATGAAGAGACACAAGCCTCTGAACACTGGAAACAGCAGAACCTAGTGGTGTATGGATTTGTATAAAGTCATTAGACATTCTAACTGAATTATATTAAGATTCATCATAAACATAGTGTCATCCAAGAATTCACACAGGAGAGAATGTTATGAATATCAAAGCTGGAAGACAAATCTTCATTGATTTTCATATCTCTGAGAATCCACAGGGGAGAGAACTTGGACTGAAAGTGGCTCAAGTCTAAGATGATAAAAATTTCTTCCGAAGCATTCTCCACAGCTCAGGAATCCATAAGGGTGTCCCTTTGAGTGAGTCTTCAAGGTACAACAAGATTAAATTTATGCCACAAGCTTACAGTCTCACGTCTGCCTGGCCAACTGACCTTCCACACATTCTTGTGAGGGTTGGACCACCAGGACTCCTGTTTTTCCATTACCACTGATTGCATGTGGGAACCAACACTTCCAAAAGCAAAGTGGGATTAAGTATCTCTTATTTCCACAAAAACCAGGCTGCAAATAAGGAACAGCAGACATTCATCCATACACATCCAAGAGAAAAACCAATGATTTGGCAGCAATTTTAGGTTACCCCATTCTGTACTATTGCTACACTGTTGTCCATTGGATTAAACAAGGTAAAAGGATCCTTGCAAGTTAGACAACCCAGTAAGCAGAATTTCAAACCATAAAAAACAGGAGAAAGTGATTCCTTGACAAGTAAGGAAGATGTGGATGGAGTAGGCAAGCCAAGGTGGTAAAAATGAAAGAGACACAAAAATCCACGAGACAGCTGAAGTGGAGTCTCTCCAAGCACAGGCACGTGAAGAAGGAAGTGCCTGCAGAACAGCCTCATGGAGAAAGTTCTCAAACCTGTACTGAGAAACCAGCACACTTGGGTGCCTGCCTGAACTGCCTCTACACTGATGCACACAACATGGAAACAAACAAGGAGGAGTCAGAAGTCTCTGTGCAGTTTCTGGACTCTGACCTCAATGGGTTAATGAAGACATGGTGGGATAGCTCACAGGAATGCTGTGCTACCATGGATAGGTAAAGGTTCTTTAGTAAAGATAGGTTGGCAAGGTGAGGAGGTGAGTTGTCTTCTATGTGAAAGAACAGCTGGAATTCGTGGAGCTCTGCCTTGGGACAGCTCAGGAGATGGTAAGTAGCTCATAGGTTAAGATTAACAGGCAGACCAGCCTGGGTACTACTGTAGTGGTATATACTACTTTGTGCTATAGAGCACATAGTAGTAGTCCATGCTATGGACTTCCTAATTAGGAAGAAGTAGATGATACCTTCTTCAGACAGCTGGAAGAAGACTCATGTTCACAGGTCATACTCCTTACACTGGAAACTGTAGCCACTGTGATGCCTTCTGTGTGAAGGACAATGTAACCTAAGGCTCAAGCAATCCACAATTCTACAGCGCCTTGATGATAAGTTGCCAAGGTGATCATTAAGCCAAAGAAAGAAAGGTGCCCTGCCTGACCTGGTATGTACAAATAACAAAGAATTGGCTGTGCATGTGGAAGTTGTTGCCAGCCTTGGCTGAAGTTTGGTTGTAGACAAGTCAGCAGTAGTGTCCCCTCCTTAGCCTGAAATATGCTGTTAATAAACAAGAGAACAAGTTTCTAGAGATCCAGTATTCAACAAAGAGCTACTGCAGTATTTATTCTGTTTCTGAAGTTCCTGGAGAGAGAAGCTGCAAGAATCAAAAAACATAAGTTATGTTATATGCAAAACAAATATAGAGGAATACCTTTCAATAATCCAGTACTCTGGAAATACGAAACTACAAATCAGTAAACCAGCTAACTATCCAACAATTAACAACAGCCATATGGTGTAAAGTGCCATACTTTCAGCTCATACAATTGTGGCTACAAAGCCTAATACACAAAAGCCAAAGGCTATTCCAACTAGAAGGTAAGAAAGGAGCACTTCAGGAAAGTGAATTTGAAATATGAGTTGATACTTCTACTGTAACAACAATGGTGCTACCAAACAACACTGGAGGATTTTTATTTCCTAGCACTATCCATAGAAAGAAAATGTTATCTCTAAGCAAGTAATTTTTTGTAAAAAAGTGCTATCAGCGCTTGAAGGGAGATACATGAAATTTTTAAAATACAAAAAAAAGTTTTAACATGGAAAAGTATCAGTGAAATGAATGAAACTGAACATACACCGGTACAGCTGCTTATACTATACCAACTTTTCCTTGTGACCTTTTAAACAAACTACAGAATTAAGAATGGAGTTTTTCATCTACTGATACATAACAGAAAATGGAATGCTAGCAGTGCTTATTTTATCTAATTTCTGCATTAAAGTGGTTAAGCAATACATGTATTTGAATATATGTATTTTAACATACATATCTGTATTTTTATTCAAACATAAGGTATTTCAAATTTTATATTGTCTTAAAAGGAAGCAAGCTTACAAAGCAACACCTACCTGATATACCCTGAGACTCCTTCTGTAGATCACAGTACCACAGTCTGTTCACTGGATCACAGCCTTCTCTGATAGACAGCAAGACATATCGACCATCATCCGACACCTGTAAGAAGTTACAGAAAAATCTAAGACAATTCATCCTCTGGAAAAGAGAACTCCAACTTGAAAAGTGAGTTCAAACACGCAGAAAAATCTAGTGTTGTTTTTAAAGGAACATTACAAGCTATAACCACATTATAAATTATCTGATAAAGCTTCTTGGTTCGCTTTTGCACATGCATGTACACACACAACATAATTTCTGAAATGGTGTCTGCTAGTACAGAAAGTCATCAATTAATCCTTCTTGCTACTCAGGCTTTGCAAACACACTACATTTCTTGACAAATCTTTGGAAAGTGCAAGTCCAACAGGAAAAGGCAGAAAGTAACAAGAAGTCTTTTAAAGTCTCCTACCTGACTGAGTTCTTTTGAGCATAATCTAAAATTACCAAATTTTGATGTTTTATTAACAGAGCTGATAGAGAAGGCTGTTTTCTGTCCACATTCTTATATAACCTATCTTTTATAACCTATATATTTCCATATCTAATGGAAATTTAAAGTCACAAAATATGAATCTGGGTTCTGGAAACTTTCCACTTGGCACTATACACAGCTTCAAAACAATTCCTATATTGTAATTACTTCTTAGACATATTTCAGTTTATAGTTGTAACATTTGTTATGCAAAATATCTGTGGAATGAGTTGCGCAAAATAAATTTCAGAAGAATTAAGTTCTAGTTATACTGCTATTCCAACAGATCCACAATTTTAAGGACACAAGAAAGGGACCTAGTAGAACAGAAACAAATCTCAGTGTATGAAAGTTAATAAAAAAATCCCAACAACCAAACACTCCTTGAAACAAAAACAATCCCCAAATGAGTTTTTCCAAATTGTATTTTTATAGGCATTTTGTTATGATCTAATCATACCACAAAAAAAGTCCATACAGCCAAAAGCCCACAAGACAAATAGAAAAGAACACCTAAGATTCTTACTGTAGCCAAAAACCCACTCCTTTACATCAAACAGCGAAAACATCTTTAACAGGGCACCCTGCACCTAGAAACAAGTATATCCAGAAATGGAAACCAAGATTAGGTGATCTTTCTTGAAAGATACATCTTCAGTGGTCTTCGGCAAGCAATAATTGCAGGTGTAAATTTTAATTAAGGAAATTATTGCAATATGCTGCTTAAAGATCTGTCCATACTTGTGAAAGCACCAAGTTCCCTTCACTTCCTCACCAACCGAAAAAACATAGCAAATAATTTTAAGTTATATATAAAAATACAGATTTCAGTTATACTCAAGAATATGACACACAAAACTTTTTTTAGTCACAGTCAGAACCCACATAAATTTATTCTTTGATTCTGTGAGAAAACAGTAAAGAGAAGACTGATAACTTTACCCAAGAAAGAACAGAGATGTGCAAATTTCTGATGTTGTTCGAAGGGCAATTCAGGATCTCTGATGACAGCAAATCTGAGTACATCTAATTTTTCCTTCCATATTCCCAGCTGGACTAGTTAAGAGTTGACAACAGTTTATGTCTAATTTGAAGTAAGAACTCCCAAAGCATCTTGCTGGTGGGATACCAATTAAGTGTGTCTCTATCACTAAAGCTATTCTTACACCAGTGAGTTCTACAACCCAAAGGATTTTGACAGAAACAGGACAAGACTGTTGACTGCAGCATGCAAAAATGTTCAGTATTATACTGCAGATTTAGACATCTACATTGCAAAGTTACAGTCTGATAAGCAATCTTGGCAGAAGCATCACCTTATGCAGTCTCCACCTCTAGCTCTTCCTACTGCTATGGTTGCTTGTGTCCATGTAAGTTCATTCCCTATGTCATACCAGTACAAGCATCCATCATTTGTGAAGTACACCAGTTCAGGGAACTGATCCAACTGAAAAAATGGCATATCCAACAACAACAAAAAAACTTAAATCTCTAAGAACCGGAAACGGAAGAAAGAATCCAGAAGAACAAGACACCCAAGCAAACAAAACAAAGAATCCACGAAGGGAAGGAGAAAGAAAAAGGAAAAATACTTAAACAATCCACAATTAAAAAAAAAGAAGAATAAAAGCCCCTCTGCCAGATTAGTATCTCAATCAGTTCACTATTCAGTTGCATAAATGGCCAAACTAACACACAGCACCAAACAGCTTGAAACATGAATAACAGGGGTAGAGATTACTTAAGGCAGCTCAGATTGCAGCACTGATGAATGTGTAATCACAGCCCAAATGCCACTGACCCTACACTGTACAGACAAGAGTCTGGGTTTCGGGATGGCAAAAGGATATAGGATTTACCAACTATCATTTTAATTATTCTTACACTGCTACATCATCTTCGTGAACTGAGCTGCAATCCCTGCTCTTGGCTCACAAATTTATGAACTGAAATTTCATCCTAGTACCTCACTCAAATCTCAGAATGCATTCATGGTTCAGCATAAGAGGGACAGCTATAATGTCAGACCCGATTTCCCACATTTAAGATGAAAATGAAACATACCTCAAGAATTTCTGAGAGAGATCTGGGATGCCAGTCAGTGCACATTTCTCTCATTAAAATGATTACTATCATTTCAAACTACACCCACTGGTAAAAGGTAAGCAAGGCTATAAAGCAATTGCACCTCTTAAAACAACATTTAGTATCTGTCAAAACAGGACAGAAGAAATCCTGTAGCCTTTCAACTGGAGCTTTTGAAAACCTTCAGCATAACAATGATTTTACTGGCATAACACAGCACTAATCCCTAACTCAGCACAGTAAAGTAAGGATTATTTCAAAGTACTTGTTAGTATGTATCTTTTGTTGGTTGGCAATTTTGAGTTTGTCAGATCTACTATTTCTTAAATATTTGTTGTGACCATCATTACACCATACAAATATACACAACAGTATCACTAAGATAGCTGTACTCCTAAGTACTATTTTACCTAGTCTTTCAAGCACAAAAACCTTTAAATCCTCCTTTATAGTAGAGTTCTGGTTTATAGTGGAGTGTTTTCTCTGGGCTGTTTTTCTGCCTAGCAATTTCAATGCTACCTGTTCTCTCCATTTTGATGAACAGTAACCACTGCTAAGAAGACAAACATTAAGAGAAGAACCTGTAACTTCAATATATCAATGAACACCAAATTAAGAAAAATTATATGAAGTCTAATTAGTAAAAACAATCTTCTAACCACTCAAATCTCGTCTTTGTTACAAAATACAACTAATTAATTATACAAGCCATATAAGGAACTGTAAAAGGTTATGAGCATCCACAGCAAAAAAAAAAAAAAAAGTGAAATATTTTGTCTAGCAGCAGATTTCAGACCAAAGTCTCATACATAATTGAACAAACAACAACAAAAAAGAATGAAAATGAGAAAGCTGTTGGGTTTTTAGGCTTCCTGGCTTTATGTATTACTCAACTAAAATGTCAATATGAGAAATATTAGAGTGCTCTACTTTCAAGTCATGTGCATACCAACAGTGAATATTAATGCAAGTTCTGTGAACACTACCCAGACAGTCACAATTGCCAGATTCAGGATAAGGAAGAGCTCTCTATATTCAGTTCACAAATAGGGGGCCTTAGAGTACATTGTATTCTATTAAGACAACTATATATACACATCATTCCTTTACAGATAATAAATTCAAAGTTTTACTACCTTTGCCCTTTATTATTACCAAGGTGGAAAAAAAACCTAATCTCTGCGTAACAAGGTATTAAAAAAAAATAAATAAAATTCAGTTATCAGATCCTATGCCTGTGTTGAGAAAAAGATAAACTCTCTTCCTAACTGCAGGCATTAACAATAAGGTAATCGACAACCTGATCTGCATCTATAGTTATTTCACAAACTACTGCTCTCACACACTGGTGCCCTTTGCATATGAAACTGAGCAACTGTCATTGCTATCTAATGCATTTCCAATGAAGCACAGCAAATGAATCACATACCAAAAAAAAAAAAAAAAAAAAAAAGAGCAAAGTTCAAAAAAATCACAGACAGAATCAAAGCTTTCCAACAGAGCTAAAAGGTCAAATTACTAACTGTAATGCATCCAGCCATGAAAGATCAGATCATCCAGAAAAAGAAAGATGTGTAGCAATAAAGATGCAACCGTGCAACACATGGAACTAAAAACTCATTGCATCATGAAGCTGGACTTTTAACACTGTTATAATTTTCACTACATGCTATGGATGTAACAGCTTAAAACCACCCAGAGTGACTGAATAGATTTTTTTAAAATACTTATTTAGGAATGTACCCAGTCACCACAATCAAACAGATTAATGACAGCAGTTACTTCCTTAACTTTAGATATATGCTGCCCAAAGACTTGCATAACACCACTGACCCTGGATATGACTCCACTAAGAAGAATTTACATGCAAGAAACCTTCCACTTGCTGCAGAAATTATCTCTTTTGTTATTTATGAGTATTTTTAAGCTTTTTATCAGATGAGCAAACGACAATATTAGGCACAAAAATCCACGTTGGTTCTATAGAGAGAAAAAAAATTACTGTAAAATTTGCTGAAAGATTTGGCAAGTAAAGAGCAATTACACTGTCTGAACAGCCTCAAGTATTCTACCATCACAGATGTGCACATGCGCCTGTGCTGCAAAGATCTGCCTGCATGATGACAAAGAACCCCCACAGTAGTCTCCTAGCCTTCCAAATTCCACTTTTATTATCCCACATTTATTAGCGAAACCAAAGCTATTTTCTTTCCTAGAATAGGAAACTCTTTTGTAAAGGGTTGTGGGGTTTTGTGGATTTTTTATGGGGGTTGTGGGGTGTTGTACTGGTTTGTTGTTTTTTTAATGAAAGGAACATACAGCCATGTTCTGATATTATCTTTGCAGTGGTGCCAGAATGTCACTGAAGCTTGCAAATAGCTCCTATCACATTCTATGTTCTTGCAGTCTTTTAAGACATTGAGGATTGGGGCACAAACTCCCTCTCACAAAGCAACCTCTTGGGACTGTGCACAACCCAAGGCACCTGAAGCTGCTACTCTCAGGCTGTAAAGGCACTGCTTTGTTTTCTCTTTGCAGAGTACCAGTTTCAGAATCAAACAGACATCAGAAGCCCTAATGATGGGTGATCACAGGAATGCAAAATTTCAGATGAGGTCCAACAGAATCTCCTTCCTACATTCTGAGGCACAGGCCTGACACGTTATTCAAGACATGGACACGGTTATATGCAAACAATATTGTGATGTGCTCTATACACCCACTCTCCCACTCCCCAGGTTAGAAAACTTGCTCTGGGCATTAATTCAAATCTCTTATTCCAGCTGGGTTTTTATTCTTAGATTTTAGATACAATGTGCTGGTATAAAGAGCACTTCTATACTGACCATATCCTTTCAAGCCTCCGCCAGCTTTGGGGTTGAAGGAGCCATACCAAAGTCAGAAAACAGGAATTTTGACCCTAGCTCATCACAGCAATATGCACACACATATTTACTTGCATTCTCTTTCCTAAGCCTAGCACAGAACAAAATCAGTAGCCTTTTGGGGTGACAAACATCACACACAATTTTTACTGCAGCTTTCATCTTGATTTTGAGCAATGAAAGCATCAAAGCATCTGGAACCTGGCTATGTAAGAAATTATCAGCTCCCATAGCCCCACATGCAGCCATGATTACTGGCCTCTTTCATACAAGGAGAAGCCTCTGGACCTACTGCCAGGGCTGTAGGAAGATACTCATACTAGTCTTCTATTCAAGATTCATCCTTGACTAAGACAGTGTAAAAAATTCCCACAGCCCTGCTTTACCCAGCAGTGTGTCTCACTTGAGTGAACTGGCAATGTTTTCAGCCCTCCATGCTGCTAACTCTTCCCCAGTGGATGCTTCTATGTTGCTGCAGTGAAACCACTACAGGCAGCACACATCTGGCACAGCCTGCTCCTCTGTGCTCTGAATTTCATATGCAAGATCACCTCTCTGGTTTAGAACCACTGATGTTAACTTACAGCTCCAAATATGAAATGAAGAATTAAAACAATGATTGTCAATTCAGAGACAGTAGACAGTGTTTGTTAGAAAACATGAAAATTTGTACTTATTTTACTGCTGGCAGAATTGGGATAGGAGGGTTCCTCTCACACACTCCTTTCTGTCCTGTTTACTTTCCTGCTGCTACCACAGAGACTTCCAGCACTACCAACTGCGAAAGACTGTTATATAACTTATTGTTTAACTTTGAGAATAACAGTCTGTCTGTGAAAGAGAGATATGTTCAGTCAGTCTGGAGAAGAAGCAAGAAAATGCCACTTAAACAGAAAAGCATGGGATGCTCCTGTTTTCCCAGAGTACCTATGACATTGCCAAGGTTTTAAAAATCTTCATACCAGACTGCCCTCTGCTGGGCTGTTATTCAATTAAATTCTATCCCTGCTCTTCACAACCCTCCCATCATTCTAGAATCTGTACCAGAAATGCTTATGCTTTTTCTAGACTAATGAAAATATTTGACAGCCTCTTTTTCAAAATTTACATATCTGACTAAAAAAACACAGATTTTTTTCCTCAGAAACAATCCATTCAAGTGAGGAGCTGGAAACGCATCTGTATTTCTCTGCCAACACCATTTTCAGCACCACAGATTTTGTTTAAGTCAAGCATACTTGGGTTGGTGTTGAATGTATAATAAGGAAAAGCACCCTGAAGCCATTTGCTTGCATATTGTCTTGTAAATATATTAAGCTGACAAAATTTTCTACAACTATCTTATGTCCTTATGAATGACCTAGATTCCTATCTCCATTGAGAATACACACCACTCTGACTCCCTACAGCACACCTGACATTATTTTTGGTGAAATATCATGGCATTATTAATTTTGCAGTCTCTGAAGAATCTCCTTGTCAGGTGCTTTTCACTTGCAAGTGAGGCATTTCTCTTCCTTGACCTTGCTTTCAAGACCTGCAAATTCTGTTCAAACCTAGGTATGAAAGTTCAACTCTCCCCCCACCATAGAGAAAGGTTTGGTACTCAAGACTAGAACACCCACACTACAAATCAACTGTTTGCACTGAGGCTTATGTAAAACATAATGTCTCTAGCTAGCAGGACTAGCAAAGCTGGTAAAATAAAATCTTTTTTTTTATTTATCTGACAGAAACACATGAAAGTATGCATTTATAACATGCTGCGCTGTGCAAAGTTGTATTTTAAAACCTACAGCAGCATCTTAGCACCAAGGAAGTATATTCAGGACAGCACCAAACAGCCACATAATTTGATTTTGACTAATGATATTTTAATTTTTCTCCCGCTACTTTGTGGTCTTCCACTTTCTTAAACACTTAGAAAAACTGACCAGAAAACTTGTTAGAATGGCATGAAAAGAAGATTTTTTGACCCACTGCACAAGGACGAAACCACATTTTGCAACTGCACTGTTTTGGTTTGTGTTTGGTTTTGTTTTTTTTTTTTAATTGCAAAATATTTTTCTCCTGACCACTAAAAGTACCTTTGTTTTCTGTCAGCCCTAACATTTTCATGGGTTAACGAGTTGAAACGTGACACAAATTGATGATCACATTTTTCAAAAGAGGTTCTTGCAGAGAAAAGTATTTGCAGGAACTGAGTACCCCAAACCAGGATAAAACCACTTCATATTCCTCAAATGTGTCAGACAAAAAAGAGACCAATATAGAAACAAAAAGTACTGATCAAATATGATAGGCAGGAGAGTACAGAGTATTACAAGGACTCATCCAGAAGGGAAAACGTCAGTTCCTTGACAAATAGACCATCACTACATTTCAGCAGCACTCCAAATAAGTGCACTCAACTGCACATTGCTAATCTAATATGGGGAATAAACCACATTAATTACAGGTTTACTGGGATTTTGCACTATATAGTAGTAGTAGTAGTAGTCAAAATAAGCTTAGGAAATCAATTCCATTTCCAATAACATAGTCTATACCATATGTGTGCTGATAAAACTTGTAGGGAAATTTAGAGTTCTCCAATCATACACAGATAATTAGCAGATTTTGACCTGTATATCTCCATTCATCAGTTAAGCAGAACAGATATATTTATTTTTTCAGGGAAGACATTGCAAAATTAAATATAACCAAATAAATACACAGCAGGGAATATCCAGACAGTGGATACTAGAATAAGCCTTTTGTGCAGGAAGTACAAGCTGGGGCTAAACAAGGACCAAGAAGAAACAAGAACAGTGATATATTATCCATCAAATGATCTTCTCTGTCTTGGAATTTGTATCAGGCAGAATGACCTCAGTGAAGAAAAAGGGTGTATGATAGTGTCATTGCACGCTGGAGGAGTGATTTAAAGCAAATTAGGCAGTCTTATTTTCAGGAAATCTTAATCAATGATTCTTAGTTCAACTGTCAACTCCTCAACACTAATAAAAAGTGCTCTTTTAACAAAATGTTTTCAAATTAATATCCACTATCAGTTGTTAGAATCTGAAAACCAGAACATGATAATGGTAAGGTGCAGGATGTTTACCATACCTCAGCTCCCCCCATCCATTTTGGATCATCAGGAAATTCAGCACATAGGATATCTTCTGACTGGTTAGTTCCTAATACGTGATAATACAGCTTTTGATGCAGATTAGTGGAGGTCTCAGTGCCTAGTGAAATGCAGATATTTAAACCAGTAAGTTCTCAAAGAAATGCAACAATCATATGAAACCCTTAGAAACTTGTGTATCACTTTGTATATAAAAGAGAAATTCAGAAGAAAGGACTAGGAATGGTTCCAAGCTACAACCATTCCCCTCTAAACAAACACCATCCTACTAAACAAGATTAAACTTCATGCTGGAAACCTATTTAAAAAGTAACCTTTTCCTTTTATTGTTGATATTACCTTCTTCAAATGTGGAGATTCATGATTTCAAGCTTTGCTTTCTAGAAATAAAAGCAAGCAAAGCGAAGAAAACCAAGAATCCCAGCCACCCTCTAATGATGTTTTCATTTCCATTTCACCCAGTGCAGCTAAGGGGAGATTTACTGCTAATTACATTCCTATAAACCTTCATACTTCCATTTGCTGAAAATATAAAAGTGATGTATTTTATAGCACTGCATGAGGTGCCACTTGATTTAATTTTTTTTTTAATTTAATTCTTGCAACATTTTCCAACACTTCAGCTTTTCAACTACAAACAGGAGGTAAAAAAAACCTCAACAAAACAAGGTTGGTGTCTGTCTTGCAAGTCTGTCAAAATTATAGGCTTCAAAAGCAAACACAGAGGCAAAATTAAGGCTCTCTCCAGTTTAATGAAAAGCACATCTCCAGAAGAAACTTTTCAGTAGCTCTGCCTTATAATAAATCTGTTAAATTCCTTCCCCAATGATGCTCCTCTGCAGTTTATTCCACTTTGTGCGGTGCTCCTTGAATTTTGCTAGCATAAACATTTTGTTTTGCTTTGCTGTAAACCACACATGAATTAATCTGGTTGAACAAAAAAACCCTTATGCCTCACATTGCTATTCATCAGGTCAATCTCCCAAAGCAATTTATCTATGCCCACACAAATGCATAAGGGGAAAGATCTAAGTAAGCTTCCACCAGACATCAAATTCTAGCCAACACCACCAACAATATGGAACCTAAGTAAATCATGGCAGAGAAAAAGAAAGGGAGCAACAAACTTTGAGAAAAGGAGGGGCAGGCAGACAACAAGTGACTCACACTAACTGAACATAGGCTTTGGCAATACAAGAAATAATTTGACCTCTAACTGCACAACCAATACAGCCACTTATTTCAATACAGATTTGTAGAGCTAACTGCTGCACCAACTCACTGCAAATGTGATTTTGCTTCCACACAGCATGCAATTAGAATGGTCATACCTACCATCACTTTTCCCATCTTGTTTCGGGTAGCAGTTATAGAACATGCCTCTTCCATCATGGGTCCATGCCATGCAACTGAATTTAACTCTCTCCAGTGTATCTGGGAGATCCTCAGGACCTTCTACTTTCATAAACTTGATAGTAATCCAATCAGAGCCACTAGAACTCAGGCCATATGCAAAGTATTCACCGTCTTCACTGAATGCATAACCTAGGAAATCGGAAACAAACAAAATGAAGAGAGATTAAATTAGGATACTAGTTAAAGAAACTGTTCACCAAACACTAAGAGAAGGTTTATTTTCTATAAACAGTGCAAGACACTACATCTGCTATCACTCGAGATTCACACCACTTTTCCAGTCTCTGTGGACTTCTCAATTAATTCACAGATCCCAGTTTAGGCACAGATACTCAGTAAGTATCCATGTTCAGTAACATAACTTATGCCCAACCAATTATAGTTTGAATCACATTTCTTCTACTGCTCTGAGCTTGGCAGGAAGACCTAGAAAATTAAAATGAACGTAGGTAGAGAACTCGAGTGGAATTTTTAAGAAAGACACAGTACCAAAGAAGCTAACAAAGATGCAAGCTATGTATCTGAAATAGTGTAAATACTACTTTAAAAAATTGAGTCACTGAAAACGAGACCCTTTAAAAACCTGAAAACTGAAGTAACTGGGAAACTTTACCACTAGCATGCAAATGGTTAATTACCAGTATTCTCAGCTAAGACCTGTGATATATATTTCACTTCATCCAAACAATGAGGAATAAAGAGCTTCCATTTTAGCTGATAAAGATCAAATTCCTGCTTGCAAATCAAGTCAAGCAAAGAGACTGAATTATCACAGGCCTGTACAGACCTGAAAGTACAGGTTGCATTTCACAGACATGATAGTTTTGAGAGGCACCACTGTGCCACACCAATATATTCTCTCCCATAAGAATATAAGAGTGGCAAGTCTGATTCGGAACACAATTCCACCTAGTTCCTAGTTCCACAATTCCTCAGGAGTAACCACAATGTGATACCTACACAAGTAAGAACAACCACATAATCATGGAATGGTTTGGTTGGAAGGGATCTTAAAAATCAGCTAGTTCCTACCTTTCTGCTGTAGACAAGGACACCTTCCACTAGACAAAGGCTGCTCAAAGCTCTGTCTAACCTGGTCTTGATCACTTTCAGGTATGGGACATCCACAGCTTCTCTGGGCAACCTGTTCCAGTGCTTCACCACCTTCACAGTAAAGTATTTTTTCATCATATCTAATCTAAACCTATTATTTTTCAGTTTAAAACCATTCTACCCTGTCCTATCACTACATGACCTAGTAAAAAGTCCCCCTCCAGCTTTCTTGTAGGCCCCCTTCAGGTACAGGAAAGCTACTATAGGGTCATCCCACAGCTTTTCCGGGCTGAATAATCCCAACTCTCTCAGCCTTTTGTCATAGGCGAGGTGCTTCAGCCCTCAACATCTTTTCATGGCCCTCTTCTGGACTCCAAACAGGTTCATGTCTTTCCTAGAATAGGGGCCTAGATTTAGATGCAGTGCTCCAGGCAGAGTCTCACAGGAGCCCAGTGGAGGAGCAGAATCCCATCCCTTGCCCTGCTGACCACGCTGCTTTGGATGCAGCCCAGGATTAAATCACTTTCTGGGCTGCAAGCTCACATTACTGGCTCATGTCGAGCCTCTCATCCACCAGGACCCCCAAGTCCTTGTTAGCAAGGATGCTCTCAATCTCTTCATTCCCCAGCCTGTGCTGATACTGTGCAATGCAAGCACAAGAACAAAATGCAGGAATACATGCAAGAACAATGCACGCACACGTAATATTTCCCTCAAATATTTTTATCACCTCCAACCATATTTAGTTTAGCAGACTCTTTTTCCATTCAGTAATTGGCTAATACTCCTGAATGCCTCCCTTCTCCTTGATTATGTCCAGCTTGCTTTTTTCCACCACCACCATCCATTGGTAAGGGGTTCTACAGATTTACTTCTTGCAGCATGAACCATCACCTTCTTCTGCTTGCTTGGGACCTGACTCCCACTGCTTTCATTTGATATTCCCTCATTCTTGAAATAGAAAAATGACTAATCAACCCTTATTCCTTCTCTCCATCCTATTGCATGCCACAAATGATTCTGCAGACCTCTAACATCTTTGCTAAATTGTCCCTTTTCCAAGCTGATTAATCCAGGCACACTCAGTTTTTCCTTTGATTGTTCCTATTGCCCTCCTCCAACCTGTATTTCAGAGCCCCTTTTGAGCTGAGGAGACTGGTGTTGATTTAGTTCTCAATGGTACAGTATAAACTTCTGGGCTGCTAATGTAATGGTGTCTCCTTGTTTTGTTCTCCATTTCATAGAATCACAGAATCATGAAGGTTGGAAAAGACCTCCATGAGTTCAACCTTTGACTGATCACCACCTTGTCAACTAAATCTCAGCACTGAGCGTCACACTGAGTTTTTCTTGAATGCCTCCAGGGAGAAATTTCTTCCTGATTAACAAATTGGCATTTGATGTACTTTTTCGGCTTCTACCAAGAACCAAGTTGACATGTTCATGGAATTATGTGTTACACTTCAAGCATTGTTCCTAAGAGGTCATCATGAGCTCAAGAGTTCACTCCATCCATTCTCCATAAATGAGGTCAGGATTATTTGTCCCCCTTTGTGCACCACTTAATTTATCTGTACAAAGACTTTTGCCTGTTAATTTATTGCCCACTTGAATTATTATTAAGGTCTTCCTGCAACTCTTCAGTCATTCTTCAACCAGGAATAACTTTGTACTGTCACCAAACTCTGCTACCTCATGGCTCACTCCTTTTTCTAGTATGTTCAGCATATGAACACTGCAAATTCTAGATCCTAGCACAGTCTCTCACAGAGCTTTACTGGTGATTTGCACTTGACAGCCCATCAGTTCTTCCTTTCTCTGCCCTTAAATCAATTATTAATCAATACCAGGAGTTCTACCTCTTATTACACAGCTGTTGGTTTTCTAAGTGCCTTTGGAAGGAGACTATGCCGTAAGACTTCTAGAAATACACAGAGATTATATCAATGTAATATACACAGATTAAGGCCATTAAAAAAAAAGCCACATTGATTCTTTTCAGCTAGGTCACTTTTAGAGAAACATTCACTAATTCTGACAGCTGTTTTTATTAACTGTCCTTGAAAAGACTTAGTGACTTTTAGGTCCAAGAGTCTGCTTCTGAAAATGAGCAAGTAGGAGTGTGAAAATTGACAGCTAAGAGAGGTTACAGCCCTAGTGAACACAAACAATTTTGTGATCATATAAGTTAATTATATGTTCCTTCACAGTCTCTTACTTTTAACTTGTTGGCTTGTGTTAAAACTGCAAAATACAATTTTAAGAGAACTAATCAATATAAATACATAAACTTTTTTCCTTGCTATGGACAGCCTTAAGAGGTGCTCATATTTCATTGGAAACCTGTTACAGAGTTGTGAAAAAAGTATTGGTAAACTAAACCAAGTTAATTGTGGATACAATGTAGATTTAGAAGTGTTCTTCTGACACACCATACAAATCCACATAGGGCTATTGCAAATACTTAAGATTAAATTTTCAACTTCTGCTGAAGACTGAGACTTACTCAGCAGGAACTGCTGTCTCACTAACCTCGTAAGGCCACAGTGCCATCATCAGAAAGCTTATTTGGATCAAGAAAAACTTTGGCATCAGCATCCAAGGAATCTTGTACATATAAAACTCGCTGATTCTGGAGCCCGGTATTGTAGAAGTGAAAATACCTAAAAAGAACACAAGAGGGAAAAATTAAATAGGAAGAACTCTGATTTTCAGTTAGGCAAGCACAAAAAACCTTGTATGAAGTTGTCATGAAGTGAATAAAAGACAGATGAATAGGTTAAGGAAACACAAGTTTCACAGCAGAGTAGGAGTCATGGCTAGGATACATCCAAAATACCTTTTAAAAATAAAAGTTGCATTTGCCACAGTGCATTTCAAAGAATTCTAAGTATACTATAAACTCCACATAACTGTCTATGTTAAACTACTCTGGCAGCTGCAGCATTTCTCTGTTACAAGCACTGGCACAGGCTCCCATCCCTTATGTTCTCAGCTTTGTCATTCATACAGCTGCTTTCAATCCATACTAGGTGACAGACTTATGTTCAAATCAAATAGAACCAAAACTGTTTCAATGTCCTTAGAAATGTGTGTTTGAAAAAGAACAGACAATTACAGAGCTGTCTTTAGTGAGTGATACTCTTCACATCCTAAGACACCACAGAGCTCATAGAAATTAACACCCATTTTCATAGAACTTTACTACACAAATACATGACTTAAAAAACCAGACAGCAGTGCCGCCGGGGGAACAGGGAAATTTACAGAGCAACAATCAAATCTAAATATAAATTGATATATTCCCTAAGACTGAAAAGTACTTGGGTACAAACATGGGAACTTGGTCAAGCCAGAAGGGGAAAATATACTCACAAAGGCCTGGCTAACAATAGCAGCTAGTAATACATTTAAGTAATAACAGTAATGTTCAGCAAGTGCAAAACTGAAAGATTAAAAGAAATAGAAGAAAAAGAAAAGTAATTTTCTATTTGATCCACTATTTTCTTGCCAATTTCATCTCTGAAATGCTGGGCAACAAGCTGTGAAGCAAAGGTCAAGCAATCAGACAGACACAGCACCTCCCTGGGCACCCCTCCTTTCTGCAGACCTCTACAGAACACTCTTCAGACACTGACCTTTAGCAGCTATTCTTCATCAGAAAACCAGAGCAGTTAAATTTAAGGATTTCTAAGTGTCATGAGAAGTTCAGAAAATTCTTCAAATAGAATAGTTCCTTACCCCACACCTTACTGACTGTTATTTAACTTGGTAGAGACCTCTTGATCGCCTCACACACCACAACATAGGGCTTTTCTACTGTATTTGTATTATATTTGAACTGCTCAGATTTAAATCCAGCACATGCCAAGAAATAGAGTATCACTCAGAAAGACTAAAAAGATATCTATTAAAGTTGAAGTAAAGTGTCATAAATTACAGGCACATCAAGCTCCTGGCACAAATGTTCTTCCCGAAGGACAGTCAGCTGCATCAAATTAAGAATTTCTATCTGTTAGCAGAGATGGTATTTATCACTGCCAGCCCTTCTGCAATAACAGGCCTTAATACACTGAAGGTAACAACACCCAGACATGTTTGCACTGCACAGGGAGAATGGGTCAGAGAATCCAGAGCAGTCACTGACCAGACCTGGTCACATGCTACATCTGCATGAGCATCACATACAAACTAACAAGCTTTGCCTGACTCACTCAATAAGGCATACTTCCCCACAGGCAGCACTGTCCTAAAAAGCTCACTTAAGGAGGAGCTTAAACCTCACACTTCTATACTCTGTCATGTTGTGCTACATCCATGTCAATTAAAATTCACATTAAATCCACCAACAGCTTGGGCTCACTCCCCACCATGTACCTTCAACAAACCCCATGCAGTACAGAATTTCCCTCCCTTAGTAGTATCAGTGCCTTCCTCACAGCACAGATCACTAAAACAAATCCCTCTCAATATCTGTGTAGAAATCTTAAGGCAACAAGATATCCTCTTTCTCATTATCTGTGGATTATGGTGAACACATATATGACATAGCTGGGTGTCCACTCAACAAGGATAAAACAAATTGAAAATATTGAAAATTATTATCTGTGTTTCCCATAATTAAGAGTGGCTGGTTGTTTGCACTACTTCATTTTCAGCTGCTAAAACAATCTTTAGATGTCACATATATGACATATCTGGGTGTCCACTCAACAAGGATAAAACAAAAATATTGAAAAAGATTATCTGTGTTTCCCATGATTAAGAGTGGCTGGTTGTTTGCATGACTTCGCTTTCAACTGCTAAAACAATCTTTAGATGCAGTTAAGTCCCTTTACTCCCTTTCTCTAGAAGCTTGCTACTGTTTCTAAAAGAAGTCACATTAAATTCAGTAGCAGCTGCAGTCTCCAGATCTTGGGTAAGACATAGAAATACCATTTCTTCAGCTAGCCACAGAATTAAACCAGGGATATAAGTAGGTTAGGCACTGGAATATAGCAGGATTTCTTTGTTTCTAAAAAATCAGATCTTTTTCCATCAGTTGCTTTAAGTCCTCCAAATGATACTTCCCATATACCCTGCAGCTACAGGAGCAGTTTTTCATAAGGGAATTCCTACTGCTTTTCACTGGCTATGACTAAACAAAAAAAAAGCCTACCAGCTGCTCAAAGAATGATCAATGTAGAGCAGGGGTTCTAGCAAATATCTGGAACAGAACACACATGATGGGCTTATGCTGTTTTCAGACAACATGCTTTTACCTATACTGACAGTGACCAAGCCTTTCTGAAAGAAACTCCTTGAAGCTTTACTTTTACAATAATTATTCCAGAAAATCATCTGAGTTCTGATAAACTCATAAATTCTTATAAAATAAAAGACAATAAAATAAGAAGAGTATATGATTGGAAACTGGAGAGAGTGAAGCACCTTGCGCTCTGCATCATGCAACCACACATGTTAACACTGGCTTAGTTTTCTTATGTCGCAACTATAAAAAAATAAATACAAATATAATTTGTTTTCCTAATTAATAGTTGCTTCTGACTTGCTTCACATTCATCACCACCTCCAAAGACATTCCTCACATACCTTTTTCCTTTCTTGAAGTGGCAGCTGTACTTAGGATAATCATAGAGTTCAGTCATTCGTTCCTTGAACAGTGCTCTAACAGGACACTGCTCGAGAAAGGGTACTGTGAGCTTGTTCTGAGCCTCCACAAATGCCTGAAACAAAATAATCAAAAAAAATATGAACTCAAGCAGAAATGCCTATTTTCTACAGAAAACATTTTCAGAAGCAATGCAACAGATGTTTCCCTCATATATGTTATGCAGTGTCACATGTGAGGAATCCTACATGTTTATTTGCATTATGCCACAATTCTTTGATAGGACTCAATTTATATCTTAAATAATGACTCTGTGTGCATATAATGGAGTAACCAGCCAAGAGACAAAACAGTCCTCCTGCCTTTCCCCTTAAAAAACCCAAAACCCCAACAACCAAAGAAACCCTAAACAAAAACCCAAACAAATACACAAGAAGTCCCCAAAACCTAAGGTAAAAACCTCCAAAAGCACACCATGCTTTTAAAAACGCCTAAATTACAAATATTGCCCACAGACTGCACTACCCCAAAACCTAAGGTAAAAACCTCCAAAAGCACACCATGCTTTTAAAAACTCTCACATTCACCTAAATGACAAATATTGCCCACAGAGTGCAGTTTTATTTCAGGAGCTGGAAAGAGCTTTAAGATGACAGAAAACGTCATGTGCATCATCTGTTAATATTAATAACATAACACACAGAATTAGTCCCAGCCAGTATTTTATGATAAAACCAAAGTATTGCTCACAGATCGATTCTTAGGGAAAAAACACTAATCTCTGAAAACTTTGGGAACTCTGGTTTCTATAAAACACTCCAGCTCCTGTCACAAACACTTAAGGACAGTGATCAAAACCATTACCACTCCAGCTGTTTGTTGCATGCATGGAAAACCTGGTGCTCTATTGGTGTTTCATCATCCCTATTTATAGCATGGTACATTAACCTAAAATTAATACCTAAGCATCTTAAGGTGAATCACAGCTGCCAACAAGCAGACGTGCAGACTCTTCTGTCTCTACCATGAAGGTAGGACAGGACACCTTGTAACTCACAGCCAAATGTCGCAGCAGCAGCTGCAGTGTCACCCTCAGACTCCAGCCTCTCACCTCCAGCACAAAATCCTGTCCACTCATCCCTTGCTTACACGGGGCTCTTTGGAAGAAGGTTTGAAAGAGCCTGTTGTTGCTACCTGTCCTGAATCTGTCACAAGGCAATCAGATCAACGCATTGTAACGTCTGAGTTACAACTTCATTGCAGGGCATGACCCACAGAAACAGCAGGGCTACAATTCACACTGCACAACTTGAGCTTCACAGATGTTCAGAAAAGCCAGTGGCTGTACAGGCAGAGTACCTGGCACACACTTACCAGCTGCAATCAGTGTTTAGTCGCGTATTAATTCTTCAGGTGAAGAATTAATATTTGCAAAGCACATCCCAGTGGTAAGTCATGCAGCCTCCATGTTGTATCGCTATAACCGTCCCCCCATCAGATGGTGAAAGAACTTAATGAAATCTACCCAAGAATTGTGTATCTGAATTGCTTTCTCTAAATGGAAACATGTGAATTTCAAAGACCACATACACAAAAATATGGACTGTGGATCCTATACAAATAAATTAACTTCTCCCAGTCCTGTGACATTTTCAGCAAAACAGTGGCTTACAAAAACATGTGTAAGACCATCCAATGTACTGGACAGCCAAAAGCACTTTCCAGTTACTTTCCAGGGAACAGAAACCGGCACACATCTTCGTCTCATCCATCAATAACATGACCAAAATGACAACTTTGCTGCAAGGGTATACTGGAACTGTGTGTTACCTACTTTTAACTGCATAGACACATCTCACCACATCTGCTTTCATTAGTGATATTCAAAGAAGAAACACAGACTTTTCCTTACAAGCATTCACTGCCCAAGAGCATGCTTACAGACTAATTATTACACTCACAACTGTATCAGTCATAATTTTGCTTTTACAGGAACTTAATATATTTTTCTTATTTCCAATTAGTGTACACCAAAGATTCCAAGATTATTTCTAAATGGAATGCCACCGCTGTATGAAAAAGGAGCAGGAATTATAGATTTTTCAAAGAGTTTTGTGGAGAAGAATACAGTCCAGTTTGGAAACTTTCTGTCTCCACACTTTTGAGCATGAAGTTGCACTCATGTTTAAAAAGCAATACATAATTGAAATATTGCTCTAGGTAAAGTACAAGAACATATGTCAGCAGAAACTGTCACAGCAAACAACTCTACCCACCACACTGAGCTAAACAGATGCCCCCCAGGCTACAGGGCAAACAGTAACTGAACACCTTCATGAACCTAGAAAGATTTTTACTGTACCTGTAGATATCTGCATCTGACAATGTATCATAAACCTTGAACAAGGGCAGACTTTGCTAGCAGCAGAAAGTACAGAATAAGGGTCCAAGTAAAGCAACCTCCTATGGCTGTTTTGGAAGATTAGGTAATTTGAAAACCAAAACAATTTTTACAGCATTGTACTACCAGTAGAGATGGTTTAAGGAGGCCAACTATCATTCTAAAACAAGAGTCAAACTAAATTTCATCTAAGAAACACATGCCACAAATTCTTTTCAACCATGCTTTTCTACAACCTATCACCTTTCTACATTCTACTAAGCTACTCTGTCAAGATAATTATTCTACTGACAGTATACTTTCCAAGAAAAAGCCTCAGAATAGCAACTGTTTTAACATGACCAATCTTTGTTATTACTCTGCAAAGCATTTACAGTTCATATTCAGCCAACGGTAGCTCAGGGCAACTCCTAGAAGAGAGCACAAACCTTTCCTAAGTATTACAAAGAAAAATTTATTAGAGTTCTTGTGACTTCCAAGTGCAAAATTTGGAAAATTTATCAAAATGTGAACAAAACACTGGTCTATTATCAAATCCATTTAATTGTAGATTTGAGAGTTTCAGTTCTAGTCCTAATTCAAATATACACACGTTCAGAATAGTACAACCCAACCCCACATGATCCCTTCTTTTTCATCACTTGTCCATCCCTCATGTCTGGAACAAGCTCAGCATTACTGCCTACACTGCCAGTGAGTTAAGGTACTGTACATGACTAACATAGCAGCAAAAGGCTTTGCTGTAGTCGAAAAATGAGCTTATTTCCCACAAAGTATTAAAACAAGCCAAGAAGTTGGAAGTCCAACTAGAGCCAAAACCAAGACAAAGTGAAAGTGTGGTGTTGCAGTTGTGGCCTATGTCACTACCAGAAGTGTTTCACATTTCACAGTGTAGCACATTTCAGCTGTGCCAGGGATGTTTCCCCAGTCTGTCTTAGACGACAATGGACAAACAGCAGCAGACCATGAACTCACACCCTGCACTTCCTTTCCCCAAAGTGAGACAGGAACTTCCCCACCTAACCACAGGTTCGTTTTCATTACATATCTGGAGGAGGGAGTTTGGTTGCTTACACCACTTCCTTTCCCCAAAGTGAGACAGGAACTTTCCCACCTAACCACAGGTTCGTTTTTATTACATTATATACCTTACATATCTGGAGGAGGGAATTTGGTTGCTTACAGCTGCCCTTGACTGGTCCAACCAAGCACACACAGAGAAAAAAAAAGTTAACATTTCTCTTCAGTATGACATCAACACCTTGAACATTCAAACTGGCCAAGAAAAATGGGGGCAAGATAAACATAGGTTTATTTTTAAAAATTCTGTGATCTAAGTTATACCAAGTATTCCACACTTTCATAGAACCATAAAATGGTTTGGGTAGGAAAGGACCTTGAAGATCATTTAGTTCAATGCCCCTACCGTGGGCTGGGACATTTGCCAGTAAACCCATTGCTCAAAGCCCCATTCAACCTTTCTCCCGTTAAAAGACAGGGACGAAATAATGGCATTGCTGCTGGCGCCATGAGTTACCACATGAACTACACCTTTGTTCACTATGTAAGTTTTCAAAACGTATTGGCAGGCTCTTCAAAAGCAGAGTACCAATGCATCTGGTCTATAAAAGAGAAGCATGCGAAAGCAGCCATCCCCATGCAAAGAAAAGGTTACCTTCGTCTCCTCGCTATCGGGATCTTCAAGCCAGCAGTACGGATCGCTGATTTTGCATCCATGGTAATCCGACACCTGAATTTACAAAAGACAGTAATTTTAAAAAAGATATGCACATAAGCAAACTCTATCCATCAAGGAATGATAGTCAGCATAAGGAAGGGCATTTGGAATTTCACAAAAGCATACAGTGCCAAGGAGCAAAGAGAGAACCAACATATTGCTCCCAGGTGAGTTACCAGTATTGCCATTCTTTGGTGATGGCACCACAGCAGCAGAGTAGTTCTCAGAAAAAAAACAGAGAGAACCAGAAAAATGGAGAAATGCACATAAATTCCTTCCACAAGGTAGACTAGTAAGCAAAAAAGAAACCCCATCAATCAGACCAGGACCCTTAAGGTTTTCAAGGCAACTTATGAAACCTGATTACTGGATGTACCCAAAGTACTGGATGTACCCAAAGCCAGTTCCTGGCTACACAGTCTCTGGTTTAGCCCTCCCTACTACTGTTGCCCACAAATGTGTGCATTATGTGTATATATATATACACATAAATCGTAATTCAAAAAATCAAAAGCCTACCCCAAAACAAAGAACAAAACATAAACTACAAAAGATTAATCCACGTGGTTGAATTTACCTGCTTCCTTCCTCCAGTAGATAAGAAAAGACTAGATACCGGTTATTAGGGCTTGCACAGTTCAGCCTTACAGTCAACTAGGAAAGTAAATACTTCAGGATTTTTTCCAGCTTTGGCTCATACCGGCAAACAGTTTGGTTTAAATGCAATGAAAATCCTTCCTGGCCGGTGCACAGTGCTTTGAGAAAGGGAAAGAAAATCGAACCCATTTTGGCCAAACTTACACTGTAATCCCTTGTGTATCCAGACCCGGTGGAAACACAGGGAGATGAGACTATGTTACAGATGTGCCATCCTATATAAATAGACTATTTGTTCCTCTGCTGACGCTGCTGCAGCCCGGGCGGAGGCCTGGGATTCCCTGACACCGGTACCGGAGCTCCGGGAAGCGCCGTGCGGCCGCTGCTCCCGCACCGCCGCCCGCCCCGGACCGGCTCCCGGCCCCGCCGGCCCCGCACGGGCGGGACGTGCCCGGAGGCACCGGCGCAAGGGCCCGAATCCCGCCCGAACAAGCCCCTGGCAGCCGCCGCGGCCCGCGGGCGTGACAAACCCGAGGCTCCGCACGGAGCACGCCGGGCGTTCCGCGGCCGCAGCCGAACAAAGCCCCCAGAGCCGAGGCGGCGCTCCCGCCCCGAGGCAGCCCCGCGGGGCATGGCGAGCCGGGTGCCCCGCGCCCGGGCCCGGCGGCCGCCGCACGCCGGCTGCTGTCCCAGCCCGCGCCCTACTCACGGCGGTCTCGTCGCGGTACACCTCGGGGTACTGGAAGGCCGGCATGGCGGGCTGCGGCGGAGAGGGCCGGGAAGCAGAGGAGGCGGAGGAGGAAGAGGAGGAGGAGGAGGCGAGGCGCGGAGGCGGCCGCGGCGCTGGGGCCGTGTTTTGGGTCGCGGCGGCAGCAGCCGGCAGCAGGCGCGCAGCGCGGCACAGGCGCAGCGCCGCAGCCGCCATACGGCCGCCCCCTGGCAGCACAGCGCCAGCGCCCCCTGCCGGCTCCCGCCGCAGCGCGCCGGGCGCCATGGCGGCGGCTGAGGAGCCGGCCCTGCCCTTGCGGCCCCGCCGCCCTTGGTCTCTGCTCCCCGCTCCCGCTCACCGTGCTCCGGCATGGCTGTGTACCCGGCTCCACCCGGGTTTCATCCCTCTTATAGTACACGTTTACCAAAAAATAAAATCGCAGATTGTCATTGTTTTCCCGCTCGGCTCCTCAGCCTTGGCACGCGGTGAGGGAAGAGGCTCGGGGCCGGCTTGCAAAGGTGCCCTCTGCGCTGGCCAGAAATCAGAGCTCATTCCTCGGTGGGGTTGATTCTTCGATTTTGATTGTGTGACTCAGGCAGCTCAAAGCCAGGTCACAGAATCACAGAATCGATTACATTGGAAAAGACTTCTGAGATCCTCACCTGTGACAGAACTCTACCTTGTCAAGTACACCATGGCAGTAAGTGCCATGTCCAGTCTTTCCTTAAAAACTTTAAGAATAGTGACTCCACCACCTCTCTAGGCAGCCCATTCTGATGCCTAATCACCCCTTCTGGGAAGAAATTCCTCCTGATGTCCAACCTAAGCCTACTTCAGTGCAGCTTAAGACTGAGTCCTCTTCTTCTGTCACAGGCTGCCTGGGAGAAGAGACCAACCCTTATCCAGCTAGAACCTCCTTTCGGGGAGTTGTAAAGAGCCATAAGGTCACCCCTGAGCCTTCTCCAGGCTAAACCTGGCTTGGTCCACTCAAACCTCTAGTGCATTTCCATTGAACATACATCTGCAAGTTTCCAGCGAGTCCCCTTTGCCCTAACAGTGAAGGACAAGTTGGCCACCTGGTCCCAGTGGAGATGGCCACTCCAGAACACCAGCCCCGCTGGTCATGGTGTGTAGTTCCATGCCAGCCCCCGCTCTGGCCTGTGCAGCTGATCTAGATGAAAGGGCACCCAGTAAAGGTGTTTCAAGTGGATGACTTCAGGCTCATGCATGGATATTTATTTTACAATAGGATTTCCTGGGTCAGAAAACATGCAAACATTTTTCTTCCTGGGATAGACCAGGTGTACTCCTCCTTCACAGTGCAGGAGACAGGAGGTGGTTTGGCAGCATGGCTGAATTGCTTTTCTTCCAAATAAAGCTGCTGCCCACAGCCTTTGCCAAGCTGTTCTGTCAGCCTGGGGAGGACTTCACTGCAGCTCTTCATCCAGGGTAAACTCATGTGTATGTGTGGTTAATGGCACCAGCTGGAGACATGGAGGTTCGTGTGTGACCTTTAAATGTCTGGTAAACCCAAAGTTCGCTCATGGTTGCTAATAAAGTAACCACCTGGGATGACAATGACCTAAAACATTTTGGAAATGGCATCAAACCTTTACAGTTACCAGCTCAGAACTGTGTCTTGATTGCCTTCTCTTAATGGAGTTACCATCTCTAATTGGACATCCTGTGTAGAGGCTGAGGGTTGTGTCCATATGAAATATGCCAGCCCTGTAATGGTCACTGTTACGTAGTGACATAACCGTGCTCATCATCTTTGCTTACATCCTAAACAACAGCTGTGTGACTTCTTTCCTCTCATCCCTTCTCTTTAGGTCATTTTTCCTTATTACCTTGTTTGTTTGTTTCTTCTCCCTTTGCAAGGCAGCAGGACAGCTGCTGTCTATGACTCCACCTTTTGTTCTGGAGCTCAAGGACATGCCACCAGCAAGGAGATTGATGGCAATGCCTTGACATGCCCGATGCTGATAAAAGCTTGCTAATTGTCTGAGCAGCTTGCTTAGGTAGATACCGGCAAGCCAAGGCTGTTTCTGTCTAAAGCTTCCCAGACAGAATTGTATATGCGCACAAATTTGCATGATGGGGAGAATTATTAGCTCAATTAGCTCAATATTAGTCAAGTGTTCTGCTTGCCAGTGTGTAACACAGACAAGTTGTATGTCCACAGTTTGTCTGGGAGTTTTGGGCAGCTTACTGCAAATTTATTTTGTAGACAGTGGAGGCCGTGCATTTGATTCTGATCTGCAGTTTGCCTCGTGAAAATGTGTTTTTCAGCCTGAAGGTATTGTCCGGGGTGAATGTATTTACGTTTGTCCAGAATGCCTGACTGTTAGCAGCTCGAGCACGGGTATCTGTCGTGTATCTGACTGAACAGCCCTACATCTCAGTATCCGGGGCATTTCCACGTCTCCGAAGATCAGCTTCGTGCTGTAAAAGCAGCCAGTCTGAGCTGCAGTGGGAGTTTTGGGCAGCTGTGCTTCTTGCACACAGCTGGAGCTCCCTGAGCTGGCGGGAGAGGGCAGCCTGGCCACACGGGCGCTCCGCGGCTCCACACGGCAGCGCCCGGAGTTCCTCAGGCTCCAGCGGCGCTCTCAGAGCAGGGCAGGGTCATTCCTGAAGGGGCTGGCAAGCATCCAGTAAGCACAGCAATTATCCATCACGATACCTTCCAATTCATCCTGTATCCAGGATGAAGGTGGGAATATACAAAAAAAACCCCAACAATACAAACAAAACAAAACAAAACAAAAACAAAAACAACAACAAAAAAAACCCCCAAAAATAAAAAACAAACAAGTGCACAGCGGTCCAGGGTAAGGTCTTTGGACCCGTAATTTTGCAAGCAGTAATTTCCTTTCAAATACGAGCACCAGGGAGTGAAAGTGAATTTTCTCTGTACTGTAAACTTCTCCCTTGTTTTTTGTGGGGGCAGTGGGGGGAGAAGGAAGTGAACAACAGCAGAAGGAGCAAATCTATACTGTTGGATCTTTTCTTATCAGGAAAGCACATTCACATAGTGTCTAAAACACTGCACAAAACATATCTTTCTTACCAGACACCATGTACGCCCTGTACAAATGAAAGAGAGTGCAGTGTGCAGTCTGATAACAGAAATCCTTACAATGAAAGGTGTAGCACTCTTCTGCCTTTTTTGATATTTGCCTTGCTTGGTTAACACAGAATTGAAAGTTATTCACATTAGGACTGTGCTATGACTGAAAATTTGAAACCTATCTTAATTGTTTGTATTGTGGCAGAAAGTAAATTTCTACCAAAATTTTACCTTTTCTTGGGCCTAACCAACACTAACAGAGTTCAGTTTTGATATTTTGATGTGTTTTGAAGATAAATCACTGAGTAAGCAAAATTTTATCTTCCCATATATAAAATAAAAAGTTTGAAAATCTCTTAGTAGCGTTTGTCATCTTATCACACTCCCATGTTAGCATGATTCTGATCATTTGCAAAACAGATACTGGTCTCTGCTGATATTAATTATAATTCTGCTGATCATCCAGTCATTAGCAAATCTCTTTCAGCTTAGTCAGCATCTCCACAATGACTCACTGCAAGTAGTATATTGACTCAGTAGGAAGTGAACTCATCGTCTTGGTCAGGGGAGATCTGACAAAAAATCTAGCAGCAAATTTTGTTTTTACCTTTCCTTGTAGCCTTTTCCCCAACCTCACTCGCATTATGACTTACCAATAACTGGAAACTTTTCTGTTATAGAATGAAGACACGTCTGTACTTTTACTCCTGTTTTCTATACATGTTTTTTATTTCATTTACTTAATTGTGTGACATCAGTACATCAGTTCTGCTCTTCAGACGTTTACCAACAGGTGTCAGCAGAACCTCAGTCTTGTGCTACGGTGAGCGTGTGCTGAGGTGTACGCATAACTCCAGTTTCGGGGGAATGTGACTCTCAAACTGTCTGCCCTGATGGGTTTCTATTTTGGAAGCACTGACTCAAGAGCCTAAGTCCTGTTGATTTTCAGTGATCCTTTGATTCCTAAATTATGTTCATCTAGCCTACACATTAATTATAATCCTTTTGTACTGTTTATAGGTAATTAAAGGATTGCTCATTTTTGATCTGATTTATGAAGTGGCTTACATAATAAAATACGGTTTTATTATCTCAGTCACAGAAACTTCTACATGGCACAGGTCTGATCAACATTTGAAAGTGCTATCAAGCAAAACAATAGTTCACTGTGGCAAACTTCTCTGTATGCCGTGGGACAGGATGGGTTCATTGAAGTCAGTGTGGCACTGCAGAATCCTCCTCTGGCTTGTCCTCGGTATGTGCATTGGTGAGCATACATGTGCTTACACTGCCATGAAGTCAGTTCACTGATGTAGTGATGTCCACAAAGCATTAGCATGGCATTGCAATTACAAAGTAGTATTAAAAGGTATTTCATCAGGTGGGCAATCTAAACCAACATATCTAAACTGTTATAGGAGGATGAACACAGAGATCATAATATAAGTACACCCAACCCAAAAGCACTTTTCTGTGAAGGAACATTTTCAGACAGATGAAAGTTAAGGTGTTTGAGGTTCACCTTTTCCATGTGCAGTGACCTGAGGTGAAGAGCGAACAAAATTCTAATTGTAGACAAGACTGATGACTCTTTATTATTATTATTAAATTTTAACATGAAAAGAAAGATTTGCCAAAAACCTGAGATCACATAGTACATCTGTGCCCTTGTGTCCCTAGGTAGACAGTCAATACTCAGGTCTCACTGCATGTGGTGTGCTTGGGTTGCACAATAAGTTTTCACAGAGACCTTCAGTGTTTGCAAGGTTTGTAGGTCTGGTGCCTACTTAGGCACCAAATCACCGTGTTCCTGATACTTAGATTATACTTACTTCAGCATTTCTGGAAATGAATCCTAATTTTATACAATTTGGCTGGGACTCATGGCTCAGGTATTTTGCCAAGTTCTTCTTGAGAAGGCTCTTGCAGAAGAAAAGTTAGAAGGAGTTGAACTTTTCTTGCTACACAGTACTTTATTGCCACACAGGGGAGAAGGGTATGACATAAAGTCCAACAAAGTCAATAGAAGGTTTTGTGTCTACTTTTTCCCCACACTTATTTCACTGAATCTTGAACCATCCCTTCCTCCACCTCCTCCCACCAAACATCACTCTGAAAACAAAATTTTTACAAATATAATTTTCTATCTAGAGAAGTGTTCATTCTTTTGT